TCCCGGAGGATGGAGAGGACCTGAACGTCTCTGGGACTGGCCTGGGGGGAGGGGGGAGGCGCGCCGTTCTCCGTGTCTGTGACTCCCCAGGAAGAAGGTTAGGACGGGACGGCATCCTGTGGGAAAGTGGACACTGTTTGTCCTCAGATCAGCAGGAGAGCCGTAGATATCGGGAGATGAAGCCAGGCCGGGGAGTGGTGTGCGCTGCGGGTCGAGGCAGATTGGCTGGGGCACTGCAAGTGCTGGAGACCAGGAACCACTCTTTTAAAAATCTTGGCTGGGAAGGGAGATAAAGTCCTTTGTGGTTTCCAAGTCCAGTTTCCCTAGACACTGCCGCCTTTGTGTGTCCAGAAGCCATTCAGCGGGTTTCCAGAGCAGCGTGCTTTGTGTCCCCAGGCCAGCTCTGCTGGACTCAGTCCTGCGTGCAGGGGACGCGGAGACTGGCGGGTGCTGCCTGGAGCCAGGCGAGCCCTTGCACCCCGTGCCACAGCACCAGGTGCCCCCATCACACATGGTCCCCTTGAGTCCTTGCAGAACGCCCTGGCTCTGAGCAGGGATCTGGAATAGCCACGGCCAGGGGGCCTTTCCCCGAGCGTCTGCTTCCACGTGGAGGTACGGGGAGGGGGTTCCCTCCGACAGCGGCAGGGCCGGCTGGTGGCAGATCTTGCTGAGCAGCTGGTTCCCCTTGGGGTGGGGGGCTTACGGGAGCTGCCCTGAGCCGCCTGGGCTGGGCCTCTGGGTGCTTGTGGAGGGCATCTGAGGAGGTAGGGTTGGGGAGTGGGGGGCTGGTGGGGCCTGGGGGACACATGGCAGCAGCAACCAGAATGCAAGGTGAAGGTAGGATTTGTCGAGAGGCACCCACTGGACATGGGCTCCGCATGGAAAGCTTTGCTCTGGGTTGCACTTGGTGTCCAAGATCCGGTCTCTTCTGTGTCTGAGACAATGGTCCGTACTGCCCTCCATCTCCATCTGACAGATGGGGGATGAACCTCCCCAAATTCCCGTCCACCCAGATTTTGTGAACGTGACCTTACTTGGAACAGAGACTTTGCAGATGTAATCAAGATGTGGTAGTTCTGGGGTGGGATGCGCCACACTCCAGCCCAGCGCAGGGGTGCAGCATGGCTCCCCTCGCAGCCTGGACCCATCCTCAGGTAGGGTGGGTGGGGAGTCCTGGTGTCTGGTCCTGAGCTGACAGCAGCATGGATGGTTCATCCTTTTGAGGGGCCCAGGGAGCCTGGGGGAGCAGGGGGGACAGGAACGGGCTGGGCCTCTGGGAGCCCCTCGCTCTGGTGGGCTGTGTCTGGACCCCACCACCGCAGGCTGACGTGAGTAGCCGGCAGGAGGAGCCCAGGGTTGGGGTGAGCTGGCGGCTGGAGGGACGCGCCCCTGGCTCACCGAGGCGTGCATTGCGTTCTGATGGTGCAGGGCTGGACACTTGGTGCTTTGTCCCCTATCCTGCTGCTGCCACCTCATTGGCTTGCTGGAGCTGAACTGGGAAGGAAGGCAGCCCCAGCTCCAGGGCCTGTAGAGAATCCCAGACGGTGAGAACCCACCCAGCCAGAGCCTTGCAGGAGGTGCAGAGCTTGGCTGGTGTGAGGCCAGCCCTGAGCCCTTTGCTCTGGGCACAAGTCAGCTAGGTGTCCCTGCTCCCGAGCCGTGGTCCCTGCCTGGCCCATCCCCTCCACCCCACGTTCCTCTGATGCCGGATGCCAAGGAATCCCTTGGGTCTTTTTGGAAATGAAAGGAAATAGGTTTTACATTGCTGTACTTCCTGTACCCAGGTTTTTATTTTCGTAGTTTAGAAAGCAGTAGGAACGCATTATAGGACATCTGGAGAGAGTTTTACAAACCACCCCATGCGGGGGCCTGTGTCACCTTTGGTCTTTCTGGATACCTGTTTGCCGTCATGGTGCGTGGGGCGGCAGCCTTTGTCACTCGGGGCCGGGGTCCTCTGTGAGTCCACGTGACGCTCAGCATGCCGTGCCTGCCCGTATAGGGGTGGCCGGCTCGTGTGCCGTGCTGCTGGGTCCCATCCCGCCGTGGGGGCGACACACTCCCCACGTGTTGGGTTCGCGCTCAAGAGGCAGAACCACCGGCTCCGAGGGCGTCTGCGTTCATGGTTCCCGCTGCCTTCTGCCATGCGGACTGGCTTGTATTTCCTTTTTAGGGAAGTTGGAGGTTTGTGCTCGAGTGGTGGGCAGATTTCCTCTGGCTGTGAATTCCTGTGCTCAGGGAATTCGCCTGTCTGTGCCCTGGGGTCCTGTAGCTTTTGCCCACGTACAGGAGCGGTCTCAGAGCAGAGAGAGTCCTTCATGGACCACATTGGCCACACCCTGGTGGCACTGCATTTGTGTTTTTTTTTTGTTGTTTTTTTTAAAAGATTTTATTTGTTTATTTGACAGAGGGAGAGAGAGAGTGAGAGCAGGAACACAAGCAGGGGTAGTGGGAGAGGGAGAAGCAGGCCTCCCGCCGAACAGGGAGCCCGATGCGGGGCTCGATCCCAGGATCCTGGGATCATGACCTGAGCCGAAGGCAGACGCTTAACGACTGAGCCACCCAGGCGCCCCACTGCATTTGTTTTTAACAAGTGGGAGTTTGGGGCACCTGAGTGGCTCCGTTGGTTGAGTGTCTGCCTTCGGCTCAGGCCATGGGGGTCCTGGGATTGAGACCAGCATCGGGCTCCCTGCTTAGCCGGGAGCCTGCTTCTCCCTCTCCCTCCACCCCTCCCCCTTGCTCATGCGCATGCTCTCTCTCTCCTCTCAAATAAATAAATAAGTCTATAAAAAAACAAGTGGAAGTTTGCTTCTGTCCACTTGACTGTTACTCTTTCATGCTGTGATTATTTTTGTCATTTCTCTTAAACAGACTGTTACCCTGCTCTGGGGACTTGGTGAGCACAAAGTTCTCTTTTCTTTAGGTTTCTTTTCTTTTTTTTTTTTTCTTTTTAAGTTTCCTTACCCGTTTCATCTATGTGGAGCTCACAGCAGCTGTTTTTCCAGGTGGCCAGCCCGCGCCCCCACGCACATGCAAGCAGCCTGCTGCCCTGGCCCCCCACGGCTGCCCACGGCCACCCTGGCCTCCCTGAGGCTACCCCGGCCCCTCACAGCCCCCCAAGACTGCCCATGGCCCACCACAGCCCTGCACGGCCACCCCAGCCCCCCCCGAGGCCACCCTGGCTCCCCACAGCCCCCCTCGGCATCATGCACTTCTGGGCTTTCCTGGGTCTTGGGGGCATTGGGCGTTGGGTGTCCTCTTGTATTTGCCACCAGGGCTACACCGGGCCACCCTGTAGTGCTCCAAGCGAGCTCGGAGAAGCACCTGACCCAGGAGCCCCTGCAGCTCCTCCCTCCACGTGCCACACACCCTTCTGTTCTCGTAGACCAGAGCGAGTTCTGGTCCATCTGGCTGGAGACCTAGGAGTCCCACTGTTGGCATCACTGCTCGGGGCAGGAAAACTTGCTGAGGGGGGCGGAGGGCCCTTACAGGGTGGGGCAGACACCCTGCGCCGTGATTTAAGAGTCCTTTGAGAGTTTTTGTGACTGCACAGTCCCAAACAGGAAGTAACTTTTCCCTGATTTTGTGGTTTTCCCTGAGACATCCCAACTGGGACAGTTAGGGCCAAGTTGATGGATTCCATCCTGCTTAGCCCCCTCCCTGCCCGCCTTGCGTGGAGATGCTCGTGTGTTTATTGGGGCCAGCGTCAGGCTCCTGGTGTGCGTCATCTGGAGCACCCAGAACACTGGCCTTACTGGTGGTGGTCCTTCAGAGGCGGAAGCCGAGGCCCAGAAAGGTGGTAAGCGGCAGAGCAGGCTTTGAGCCCTGTTGTGTCCAGAGTCCCCACCCTCCTGCAGGGACCCAGGGCCTCTTGTAGAAGTTGGGGGGCTGGGGCTTGTGGGAGACCCCGACTTGCAGCCCTAGGCCCAGGGGCTATGTGACTGGGACTCTGGTTGCGGTTTGTGGCTTCTGCTGTAGGCTTCGGAGTGAGGTTGGCTGGACGTGCAGACGAGTCACTCATACTCTGCCCCGGGGGCTTGGGGGGGTCGGCTTGCCTCTCCTGGCCAGGTTGGTGCAGAGATATGGGGCACCTCACTACATGTCCGTCTCTGGGTGAGCATTCGTGTTTGAGCTCCTGCATGTCCTCCCCTCCCCTCCCTGTGACCCACGCCAGGTCTTTGCTGCAGTGGTTTTGGGCTGGAGGGGGCAGGCAGGCAGCCTTCCTTCTGCGCCTGTGGTCTGGGGCTGTGCCGGGCCAGCAGGCGGGCGAGCGCTGGGCTCCTGACCAGCCCATGTGTGGGAAGACCTCTCTGAGCAGGACCTCAGCAAGCTGAGTGAGGGCTGGTCGGGCGAGCAGGGAGGTGCTTTGGACAGACAGAGCAGGCTGGGTTGTGTCCCTGGGAGGGGGACCAGGCCGAGTCATGGGGCACGAAGCCAGGGCACTGCTGGGTTCAGAAGGGATCTACTGAGACACCCTAATGCCGAGCATTCCAGCGGTTTCTGGGCGTTTGCTGCTGTCTGAGCAGTGTGCAGAGCTACAGCCGCGCCCTTGATGGTTGGCTTGTTAGGGGGCTTCTGAGTGGTGGTCAGTCGCCCTCTCCTTTTCTTTGAAGCTTTTCTGCCCTAGCTTTCCCCAGGCTCTCTGGCCTCCCTGTGCACTAGGCTGGGCATCTTTATGGCCGGGAAGGTCCTGCTGACTTGGCTTCCTTCTGCCTTGTGGGGCACATGGGGGGAGGTGGCTTGGGTGGGGCCAGGGGCAGGAGCTTGGCCAGCTGAGTGGGAGTGGTGGAGGGGCCCAGGCTGGTGGGTGCCAGGTGGGAGCCAGTGGGCCCCGAGTTTTCCTTGAAAAGCCAGCCTGGCCACTTCCTGAGGGCAGGGCTCGGCCACAGGACCAAAGTGTGTGTAGGAGAACCGTGTGCTCGGGCGGGTGGGTGCGCCATGGGGACAGGTGGCCAGTGGGCGAGTGACCGAGTGACCGAGCCTCTTCTTTTCTTCTCTTGCAGGGACCCCGACCGTCATGTTAAGGTAAAGCAGAGGGGCTCAGTGCTGAACATGCTAAAGAGGCTGGACAAAATCAGGTTCAGAGGTCACAAGAGAGATGACTTCCTCGACCTAGCAGAGTCTCCAAATGCCTCAGACACCGAATGTGGAGATGAAGTGCCCCTGAAAATACCTCGGACCTCGACCCGGGACAGCGAGGAGCTGAGGGACCCTGTGAGTATGCCGTGCGGGCCTCAGCAGTGGGAATGTCTTCCTCCTCTGTTGGGCCTCGGCCCCGAGTGGGCGAGGGGCCGCCCCCCATCCTCAGACGGTCAAGCTGAGCGTGGCCTCGGCAGCCCTGGCCTGCCTGGTCCGGCTTCCCCGCTGTCCTCGTCCTGCTCCCCACCGGACCCCACTGGCAGGTGCTTGTCCCCCTGATCGAGGATCCCAGAGCCTTGCCTTTACCACGGGTCTGTCCAGCCACTGGATTTCTTTTCCTTCCTCACTGGCTTCCTGGGTGGCTGGCAGACTTCTCCTGGGGGAGTCATGCACAGAGCCCTTGGCAGCTGGCTGAGGCCAGGCTGGGCCCTCATCATGCCATGTGGAGACAGAGCTGGCCCCTGTGGGCTGGTCTGCAGGGCTCTCTTTAACGGGGCAGCAAATATCCATTGAGCACCTCAGCTAGGCAGCGTGGCTGTGGTGGGAACCGGGCTTGAGTGGGCCCTGCCTTCCGGAAGCTTGTGCCTCTTCAGCCGGGAGTGGGGCAGGGGCGGGGCAGGCTCTCTGGCCAGATGTGATTGCAAGGCTCACCATTGTGGGCACAGCTCCCGAGTGTTCCCCTTTGCCAGTGAAGAAGCCCAGAGCCATCTTACCCGGTGTGGATGACCGAAGTCGGTGGTCCGTTGGTTTCCTCTCTGAGCACCCGAGCCAGCTTTACTTCCCTGGTGTGGCCTGTGAGCGCTCGCCTTCTCTGGTTTCTTATATTATTAATGCGTTAGAACAGGGACTACGAGTTTGCTCCTGGCAGGAAGGAATAATTTACCGGCACTGCCTCCTAGGAGCCAGGCTGCCCGATCAGGTGGGCTGGGCGCTGCAAAGGTGGGAGCGGAGCCTGCCTGGGCGTTGGCTGCTGTCCCCTGGCACAGGTGGGCTGGTCCTCCAGCCTTGGGGTCTGTGTGGGGGGGTGCGGGGCCCTGCTGCTGGGTCTCCCAGTGCACGGTGTGTTGCAGAGCGCCACGGGCCGGTGGCAGCCTGGGGCACCATGAGCCACGGTTCTCCGTGGTGGTCCTTGGGCCGAGTGTGCCATGGCTTCTGAGGAGCGTGAATCCCCACATGGAGCTCACTGCGGGGTGTGACAGGGATCCTGCAGTGGACTCGTCTGGCGCCATGCTCTGTCTGTCCATCCCTCTAGGACTCCGCGGCAGCCACTTTGCTGTGGGTGCTGTCTCAGCAGAAACCTGGACTTGCCCTGGAGTGCAGCCCCCTGCGTGGGGATGGCGGCCAAAGGTCCAGAGGGTCTGCAGGGCCATGCCCGTGCCCCACTGAGGTCGGGTCTGAGGCTGCAGGGAGGTCTGAGTGGTGGCGGCGCTGGAATGTGCCATCGATGCGTTGACCACTCCCCATTGAGGGACCCTCTCCCCTGGCCCACATCCCTGGGGTGGGCGTGCTGGGCCCGTGCTGTCTGTTGTCCTGGTGGCTGTTACCAGGTCACCTGCCCGCCCTGCCACGGCCCGGGGTGTCATCCCCACGGCTTTCTGCTCTGCCGGCCCAGCGGGTGAAGAGCATGGCTGTGATTCCTGGTTGTTCCTGGGAGGGAGGCTGGTCATCTTTGTGCTTAGGCTTTGGGTTATTTTTTACTTTGTTTCTTGTTTATTGTGGTAAAATATAGCTAAAACTCACCGTTTTGGCCACTGGTATGTGTACAGGGCATTAAGTGCATTCATAGTGTCGTGCGACCGACACCCCTATCCGTCTCCAGAACATCGTCCTCAGCGCCAACAGAAGCCCCTGCTCCATTAAACGCTGACCCCCCACACCGTCCCCCAGCCCCTGGCGCCCACATCTACTTTCCATCTCTGTGGACCAACTGGTCCAGCAACCTATGAGACAATCCTGTAGTACCTGTTGGTTCGTGCCTGGCTGGTCTCTGGGTCCTGGGCAGAGATGAGTGGGCGCAGTGGTTGGGGGGAAGGGCGTGGGCAGGGGAGGGGTCCTGGGCTGGCAGACGGGCTTGAGGAGGCCCAAGACGGGGGGATGTGTGGGGGGAAGGTGCAGCAGTTGGGGTGATACCCAGCTTCAGGATGTGGCTGGGGGGGGAGGGCCGCGGCAGATGAGGATGGGGACTGAGGCCAGGGCCGACCGGGTGGGTCACTGACAGGCCAGTGAGGAGAGGTGTGACAGGGAGGGCACCAGAGCCCTAGAGCTGGGGATAGACAAGTGACCCCGTGCACGGGGGGCCAAGAGGCAGACTTCTCTAGGAGCAGGAGGTCCTGCCCTGAGGGGCTGCAGGGGAGCCCAAGAGGTGCGGAGTTGGAGGCTACCATTCTAAGGCCACCACTTCCCTGGCTTTATGGTGGTGCTGTGGCCTTGGGGGTTTGCTCAACTGAAGGGACCTGAGGGGCTCACAGAGGGGCTCAGACCTCAGAGTTCCGGAGTGCCGCCCCTGGGGCCTGCCATCCCCATCGGTGCTCCCTGCTAGCTGGTCAGCACCCTGGAGCAGCCCCTCCGCCTCCCTGCGGTCCACGGGGCTCTGGCTCAGAGCTGCCTTCAGCACTGAGCACCCAGAACCCTGAACCCCCATCCAGGGGGACCCTGCAGGGATTCTTGACGCTCTAGGGCAAGTTCCAGATGGACTTTGTTCCAGCATCCTAGAGACTTGGACTCGTGCATTCAGACATGGCCCCGTGAACTCGGGGGCGTCCTGCCCGCTTTTGGAGAGGAGTTGGCAGTTGTAACGGAGGTTGAGTGTTCTGCCTCCACGCCATGCAGAGCCGCCTTTCCTGGCCAGTCTCTGCCCTCTGCCATGTGGCCACCGCCTTGGTCGTCAAGGTGGGGGATGGACAGGGGAGGGATGAGTTTGTGCGCCTGGGGATTGGGTCTAGCATGTGCCATCTGCCCCGTGGCAGGGCAGGTAGAATTCGCCTGCCTTCCACCCCACTCCCCCAGTCCCTGTGCCCACTGCTGCCTGGCCCCCAGGGCTGCAGGGAAACATGGGAACTCGCCCCAGCAGCCAGAGGAGCTCAGAGTCCAACAGGGCAAGGGTCCGGGCAGCCACAGGCCAGAGGGTCTTCCCAGAACCTGCTGGCTTCCTGACGTCCACTCCTCCTTCCTGAGATGTGGCCTCAGAGCAGGCGACACGTGTATGTGCAGGGGTCTGTCCTGCACCCTGTCTGGGCTGTGTGTCCCCTTCTACCCTCACCTGGCCTGCAGGGGCGTCATGGAAACCCAGACTGGGAGTCAGATCCCCCTTGTCGCTTGGGGAGGCACACGGGTGCCGCTTCTCGCTAGCTCAGCATGAGCGTGCAGCTGTGGGGTGGCCGTGGGAGTGACCAGTGTGTGCGCCTAGGCAGGCGTGGCAGCGCTGACCTGTGCCGCACCCCTTCCCCTCCTGTCCGCCGGACGCAAGCGGCTGCCTGTGCCAAGGCCCTGGGCGGGCGGCAGCGGGCAGCGGTAACTGGAGCCTGCCCTGCACCCCTCGGACGTCAGGCGGTGGTTTTACTTAGCCCTCTGTGCAACAGGACAGGCCCCGTTTGGAGTTTGCTCACGTCAGGGAGCCACTGTTCCTTCAGATTTACGCAGCCTGGCCTGCGGACATGCCCTCCCCAGCTGCCTGGCGTCCTGTCAGTCCAGCTCCAGGCTGCGAGGGGGACAGGGCCTGCGTCTGGGCTCACCCTCCTCCTGGGGGGCCAGCGCAGGTTTGGATGGTTGCCTTCCTTTCTCAGCCTGAGACTGGTGTGAGTATCAAGAGGCTTAGCGTCACGCTTCTGGCTTTAATTTAAGCTGACCTCGCTGGGCTCCAGGGATGTCCATGTTGTCCGAGATATCCCTTCCAGTGGCAGGTGAGGCCGAGGTGAACTGATGCGGGCTTCCGGCAGAAAGACGCCTTCCTTGCCCAGCAGGGGCTCTGTGGGCCCAGCCCTTGCCAAGGAGGGGTCCTTGGGGCTCGCCTCTGAGAAGCGGGGTGCTTGGAGGTGGCTCCTCTGAGCTCTTGGTGTTCCTCTTGTAGGCTGGTCCAGGGACCCTCATCATGGCTGCAGGAGTCCAGGACTTTAACCGGACAGAGTTTGATCGATTAAATGAGATCAAAGGTCATCTGGAAATCGCCTTATTGGAAAAACACTTCTTACGTGAGTACCCCTGGGTGGGGTGACGGGGGGAATGCCATCCCGCAGACGTGCAGCAGGGTGTTGGGGCTGGTGAAGCCCCGTGCTGGCTGTCACCGGGCTCACTCGTGCTGCGGACACGTGTGGCGCCCCGTGTGACGTCCCCAGTGGAAGCTCCCTGTGCCGCTCCACCAAGACCAGCGCTCTCGTCCGCACGCTACAAGGTGTTTACTCTGGGGTAAGGGAGGATGTCCCAGGGAGGCAGGGATTTTGCTGCTTCTGGTGGATCTGGGGTGTTGCATTTCCGGCAGTTGGCTTTCATACTGTGTTCTGTTCAGTTTCGCATCAAGGAGGGAGGGTGAGCCCGAGGGGTTCTTCGTTGGGTGGCCGGCCGCGTTGGTATGTGGGCCGCCGCTGTGGTTTTGGCCTCTTGGGTGCAAATGGTAGAGACTGCCGTGGGGGCATCTGCCAGCTCCTCGTGGAGATGACCTCATCTGACTCCTGCCTTGGCTCTCTCACCACCCTCTGTCCTGCTCTCCAGACCAGAGCCGCAGGGCTCGGATGAGGGCCCCCGCGCAGGGACAGCCCCCCTGCCGGGAAGGGGTTTAGAGCAGGCGGATTGCTGTGGCGCCGGCACACGTGCCCCGCTGCGCCATGCAGAGCTTCCACAACTGACACCAGGGCCAGAGCAGAGCTGCTGGGGTGACACAGGAAGAGAGAAGCAGCCTCCTGGCCCCGCGTGTCCAGAGCCGGCCCAGAGCTGCTGGGCCAGGAGGAAGGGCCCACAGACAACACTCCCTCCGTGTCCCTTTGGGAGCCACCCCCCTTGTTGTCCACGCACTGGGGGTTTTCGGGGCTCCAGCCATGGGCCCCCCAGCTCTGCAGCTATGTGGGGCCCTTTGCCTGCATGTGACAGTGGGTGTCTGTGCCGTGGTGGGGAGCCTTGGGGGCTGGCCCTGCTTTTCTCTCCTGGGAAGCAGGGGACCTGGCTCTCCCGGCATTTCTGCACAGTGTCCTGCCACCCAGGGGCTGCAGCCCTGCCTTCCCTCAGAACGCCTCTAGCCTGTCCACGCTCCCTTCGGCACCAGCGTGTGTGCACCACGCTCCCCTTGGCACCGGCGTGTGTGCACGTATGTGTGTACAGGGTCATCGACTCTGTGTGGTGTCTTCCCTCTGCCAGCTGGGCCTGAGCACCCGTGGTTCTGAGGACAGTGCTGTGGAGCGACTCGGTCTCCCCTCGAGTCCAAGGTCGTCACCGGGCAGCTCAGACAGGCAGGGCCAGGCTGGGTCAGCCCGGGGCTACAGGCGGTGATGGGCCCACCTGATTAGGTCCTGGTGACCTGGTGCCTGTGACCTTGGCCTGTGCTGAGGTCCCGCGGGGAGGCTCTGCATGAACAGAGGGGCAGGCTGCCCCACTGGTTCCCTGGCCAGTACAGACAGAGCTGGACAGACCCTGCCCGAGGCATCGGCTGGTGGAGCCTCGTGCAGTTGCCTTTGTGGATCAAGTGGCCAAATACGGGTGGTTTCACGGGGGCTTGATGAAGCAGCAGAGCCAAGTGCTGTCCATGTCTGACCGGGGAGCCCCAGCCGGGGAGGGGAGCAGCAGGCCCCCAGGAGCACAGGTTACCCGGCAGAGGCGGGGCAGGCAGGGCGCAAGTACCCACCAGGCAGATGGGCAGGCAGGGTGGCTGGGACCCGCAGGGACGCCTCTCTGGGCCGACCCCTTCTGCGTTGAACAGAAGCATCCACCCCCCACGGCGCTGCGCAGCTGTCGTCCTCGGTCCGTCCTTGTGGTCTGTCCTCAGTGTTTTACCAAAGGAGCATCTCGTTTACTCTTGGGCAGCTCATGTTGTAGAAGCGTAAGGTGCAATTATGACAAGTGGCAGTGACGGGCATTCTTTTAAACTACGGAACATTTCCAGCAGATACAGAAGCAAGAGTATCTCACATGCTCACGTTCAGCTTTGGCAGGAGGTGGCCCCCACCGCCCCGGCGTGGGAAGCCGGTCCCGCCAGCCTCCTGTCCTTCATCTATACTTTTCAGTTGGCAGCTCGCGGTGTTTTAAAAATGAACGCCATGCATCTGATATCACAGCTGAAAACATCAAGTTGTCCTTTCGAATCTTCAGACCTCCAGCCCGAGCTCAGATTTCCCCAGTTGTCTCCTTTTTTTTGGAACTCCCAGAGCAGCCCCCGAGGCCCCACGTCGAGTGGCTGGTGCCCTCTTCAGGCTCTCTGGTGGTGCTGGTTCTCTGCGTCCCTTGCTCTTTGTGGAGGAAGCCAGGCCCGCTCTGGGGGCAACTCCACCCTGGACCTTGTTCGGGGCGACCCTGTGGGCTCCCCACAGAGCGCTCCCTGGGAGGACTCCCTCGGTGGTGGCTTCCCTGCAGTGGTTTCCGTCCTTGGTCACGTGGCTTCAATCCGTTGTCCCGCTGGAGGTTACAGAACGATAATTTCCCACTCCTCCATTCTTTCTCCATTTGCTCACTGACCTATTTCTGAAAACTACTTGGCTGCTCAAGGGATGGCTCCTAGAGCGGAGGCAGGACACAGGCTTGAATTTTTCCCTTCATTGTCCGGTTTCCAAAATCAGGAGCCGATTCCCTACTCAGCATCCTCCAAAGGTGACCAGTGAGGGTGCTGAGCTTTTTGGTGTCATCACGAGATCGTGGCCTTGAACATAGCTGATGTGTCTTAGTCGCCGTGGCCACTGCCCCCTTGGTGCTCAGATAGACCCACTTCTGGGCGGCGGGGGCCTCCTCCAGTTTGCTTCTGAGTCCCTTTGACATGAGCCAGTCCTCTGTGAGCAAGCCCTTGCTTTCTGGTGAGACAAGACACTCTGGGCTCTTCTTCCTTTTTTTTTTTTTTTAAGATTTATTTATTGGCGGGAGAGAGAACGTGCATGTGGAGGTGGGGGAGGGGCAAAGGGAGAGACCCCATTGAGTGTGGAGCCCGATGCGGGGCTCGGTCACAGGACCCTCAGATCATGACCTGAGCCGAAATCAGGAGTCCCATGCTCAACGAACTGAGGCACCCAGGTCCTCCCCCACCCCCCACCCCCGGCCAGGTTCTTCGTAAACATTTCCTGCCCCTGTCCTGGAATTAGCCATTTCCCCTGGCTCCTGTTGGTCGAAAGTGGTTTTTAGAAGATAAATAAGGATTCTGGGGGTACTCACTGCTGTCAGTGTTTCTAGACCTTTCCAGTGGGCAGAGGTGGGGCATCCCGAGTTCATTCAGATAGTTTGAATTCACATCCAAGGCCATGGGGGTTTTGGTTTTTTTTCTTTAAAAAAAAATAATGATAAAGTATACAGGTGATCTAAAATTTGCCATCTTAATCATTTTGGTGTGTGCCCTTCAGTGGCGTTGACCTGTTCACAGTGTTGTGACGCCGTCACCACTGTGTGGCCGTCTCGTGAAGCTGAAACCCTGTTCCTGTGAAACCACAGGTCCCCCTCCCCTGGCACCACCATCCATCTCCGTGAATCTCACTCCTCCAGGGGCCTCGTGTAAGCGGAACCTTACGGTGTTTGTGTTTTTGTGTTGGTTGGACTCACAGAGCAGTGTCCTCCGGGTTCATTGGGTCGTGGCAGGTGTGAACATCTCCTCCCTTCTGCTGTGCAGACGGGCCACACCGTGTCCCTCTGCCCATGTGGCAGTGGGCCCTCGTGTGGCTGCTGTGAGCGTCGGGGTGTGTTTTCTCTTCAAGCCGCCTGCTCTCAAACCCCGAGGGCTTCACCTGACCTCATCAGACTGTTCTCTGAGCCTCTCCTGCTGCCCATCCTGGTTCTCGTGAGCGACGCGGGCAAGGCCTCATTTGTTTCATCCCCAGGTCACACACGCAGCGGCCTCGGGATGCGGCCCCCGCACGGCCCCGCTGTGTTCGCTGGTTCCTCTGCGCTCAGGGGAACCGATCCCACGAGGGTCGTATGGTGATGCGACTGAGTTTTCCCCTTTGTGGCTACGTCACCAGCTCAGTACAGACTTGCTGTGTGTTTCTTGTCGCTTGAGATCTTGAGAGATCACTTCTGTTTCCGGTTCACTTTTTCTTTTGACCCAATTTCAGATTCACAGGAAGGTGCCAAGAAGAATGCAAAGCTAGTTTTCAGCTAGAGTGTTCCCAAGGATAGCCTCTTACCACGTTTGTCTGCCTGTCGGTCTCGTATCCTTCCTTCCGTCCACCTGTGTGTTTTATTTTCTGACCCTGTTTGTGGTCATCTGCGGACACAGTGTCCCTTGGGCTCTGACTGCTTCTGTGTGTTTCCTGAGAAGCGAGCATATTCTCTCACCTAACCGTCCAGGTATCACTCTCCGGAATGAACGTGGATGCCAGACAGTTATCTAACCTGAGACTGCAACGCGTGCAGTCATGTCCTGGAATTTCTAGCGGAAGAAGGTCCCCGGTCACACGTTACACGCAGGTGTCCTGTGTCCTCAGGCTCCTGTCACCGAGCAGGGATGTTGACGTTCTCCAAGAGTGCAGGTCCCTCGGTTTGGGTGTGTCTGACGTCCCCACGGGGAGATCAGATAAGGAACGTCACAGTGATGCTGTAGCCTCGGTGCATCCGTCAGGAGGTGCATGATGTCATTTCGTCTTGTTGACACGTATTGTAAAGAGTTCTTTTCTTTTTTTAATTTTTTTTTTTTAATTTTTATTTGAGAGAGAGAGTGTGCACACATGAGCAGGGGTTGGGGCAGAGGGAGAGGGAGAAGCAGGCTCCCCGTTGAGCAGGGAGCCCGACATGGGGCTTGATCCCAGGAACCCCGGGATCATGACCTGAGCTAAAGGCAGCCACTTAACAGAATGAGCCACCCAGGCGCCCCTACAATTATTTACGTGGTTGCAAAGTCAGGGTGTGTTCAGAGAAATGGAGTTTGTCTTCCTGTATACCTTCATTCCTTCTCTCTGGACAACCAGTTGTCTTTTGATTTTGCAATTTATCCTTCCCTGACTCTTTTGTAGAAGCAAATATGCAAGTTTGTTCTTACCTTCCCCCTTAGATAAATCTTGTCCTGGTCTCACTT